TCTTGGTGGTAGCACTTGAATGATGTGTTGTTGCGCTTGCGAGTGAAGATTACGCATTGCAGTCCATCGTGGGTTTGCTCCGGATTTCCTTGCCAAAACCTGCCCAACGAATGCCGGAGGGCTCTGGCTCATGTTGTGTCCGCGCGCAACACATGGGAGAACAAAGCAATTTCACTCGAAGCGCCCTACTGAGTGAACAAGCGACATGCCAATCGCATCCGGGTGTTACCATGAGTTTCTTCAATGATATCAAGCGTTGTACAGCAGGATGCAGCCTTCCAAGTTGACAGGATCACTGGCATTGTACATTGGAGGTCTTGCGGAACTTGCTGAAGGACTTTGCAAAGATCTGGTGGCGGATGCAGAGGTGCCTACGTATCTTTGTGCAGATGCTTACCTTTGCGGAAACTGTTTGCACGGATGGCTTGCCGTCTGCAGGAGTTCCACCTGGATTTAAAGCACGTGTGTCCTCCCTCTGATTCGGCAATGTCCACAGAGGCGTGAGGGTGGGTGGGTTTCTGAGACATGTGATAGAATTTCTCGAAACGCTGGACAGGATAGAAGTTCTCAGCGAAGCGACGAGACGGACCACTACTGAGAAGTCAGCACTGGCCGTGAGCTTTTACGTATCTCTTGCTATCACTTACGAATCAGCATATGCATAATCGAGTTGTGGTGAACACGTAGCATGATTCTGACTTGTAGTATCCGTCGATAACCGTGCACGGATCTTGACACATCCATCAAGGTGTGCAATGGCAAGCAGCCAACTTTCCGGTTATACCGTAGCGATATTCTGATGCAAAACGGCGCTATGCCACAACCATCTAGACTTGCATGCTTGTTTGTAGCTGACAACAGTGGCCAAAGTGTCAAAGTGGCCCAGCATATCCACCCCTAAGCTTGCTGAACCGGTGTCTGATGACGTCCGGCCACATGAAGCTCACAGAGTCTTGATGTGTTTGAGACGCAGACGCGCTCCCGCTGTGGCCTTGAGGCTGCCCGATCTGGAGTTCTGCAGACAACTTCACTAGCCTTGGAACGGGCACGAGCACAGACTGCTTTTCAAAATGGGCAGCCATGCACCAAGCGTCTTATCAGCGCGTGCCATCCCACCCCCCGCGCCCACACCCACAAACTCATCCACTCCATTAGCCCCTGCGGATCTATTGGAAGGGGGTAATTTCATCCTCGCCAGGGCCGCGAGGGGTGGCTCTAGCTCTAAGTTGCTGGAGGAACACTTTGAGATCACTCGGTGCGATTGCCGCCCGCTGCGGTTGCAAGCCAAGCTCCAGCCAGACTAACCATCACAAGTCAGGTGCATCAGCTCTCCTGACAAGACAGCTGAATTACAGGCGAAATCGAAGGAGAACAGCTGAACCTCACAATTTCAGATGGCCTATATTATAGTCAAGATCTTTGGTTCAGAGAATACAGCACATGAGTGCTTCACAGCTCCGTTATTCCTTTACCTTCATCAGTAAGGTTTGGTGTCCCTTTAGTCTTGCTGTTCAAGGGCCCGAGGACCAGAAGACGACAATCTGATTCTACGCCCAGCGCACTGGCAGGAAATCTGATGCGCTGCACTGCACTTCAGGCAAGCGTTCGCACCCTGTTCCCTGAAACGTAGTCAGGGACGTCATTCAGCGAAGGGTGCTGCTGAAGGGTCTGGTGAGTTGCTCTGCCAACACACGCCATGCGGCTTCCTTGCAGCTGAACAGAAAGGATGCAGAAGGCACCCCACCTCGCTTGAGCTTGTGGAGGCTATGAAGAGCGTCTTGGGCCATAAAGGGATTGGCAAGATCCGCTTGCGCGTGGGGGCGAACGGAGTTGCCCTTTCGTGGTTTAATGTTCAAGGCGCCTGCTGGTTAGTCTAGTGGCTACCCTGATTGCGGCACCATTGTCGTGCTTCAGAACTTTTGCACCTTGGCCACTACAACTTGCTTAAACACACGCCTGTGGTGTGTTGTAACTCAATTTGAAACTCGGCTTCGAAAAGTCGGGCCTGCTGTGTGAACCCTCTGAGGGCAAAGATCCAAAGAAGAGAAACAATCAGTTTCTGCTAGCATGATTGTTGGAGATTTGTTTTGGCAACGTCTCTGATGACCTCTGTTACTCGACAGACACCAAAAACTTTGTACAGCTATGCTCATGGGAGCGTACATAAAGTCAAGTCCTGAAAAGGATTCATGACCCTCCTATCTGCTGGTTTGCACTGACCGCTGTCTTCGAAAGTGAGACGCGGCGCTCGTAGACTGGTGCAGGTTTTGTGGAGTCTTGCAGCCAAAGAGCTGGCAGCAGTGCGCCTGCGGCGTGATATATGAGGTTGGAAAGGTCAAAGATTGCATCTGCTGCTGGCTGTCAATGTAGCAGTTTCAGGGCGCATCCCAAGGAGCCCTGGTCCACATGCACTTCATGCGGCATCCGACTTCTCCCAACTCTTTGAACAAAGGGTGGGGCAGCTTTTTGAAATGCAAGTCGGACGCTGAAGGATCCCTGCATGTGCAAAATTCCTTTGTAAGACGCGGCTTGTAAAGCCTCTTCAGTGGCTGCATTGAGAGGAATGGCTTCACCTCAGTGTGATCTGAGGAGGTGGCTACCTGCCTCGCGCGTCAGCTTTTTCCCGGGGAGACCTGCTGCCTCGAGAAACTCACGGGGAGACATGCAGCAAAGGGCCGCGAGTTGCTTGCTTTCAATGGGCCTCACAGCTTCTGGTAGCTTGCTATTGGATAGGCGTGAAGTGTGATTTTTCCGTCAATGTTCAGCTCAAGATCTGATATTGCTACTCAATTACGCAACCCCGCGTTTACTACGTTCACATCTTTGCAGCTTGGCCAGCGAGGCCGCCACTGCATTTCTGTGCATCAATGCAGTATGTTGCACGTGCTTCAAGGCAAAGCGGTGAATTTTGGGAAATGGCGCTGTCACTAATGTGTGCAGGCCTGCCATGCGAGTGATCGAACTTGCATGGCTACTGCTGCTACTGCCTACTCCAGGAGGCTGTGGTGAGTTCACGCTTCAGAGGTGCCACCTTGATGGCACAGTATCAGGATGTCACTGGATACAGCGGAGCCATCTGAAGCATGCCAACTCGAGCCGGCACCCATGATCAGGTAGAAAGACATAAAGACGCAACAAAAACTTCCTCCTTCCCCATGTGAGAGGGTACCCGCCTTCACAAAGGTTCACCGACGTCGTTAAACAGCAGGCCGGCCGAGCTTATGCACCTGGTCAAGCAGCAAGATCAGCATGTGTGGTGCACAGCCAGCGTTCATCGTGAGCGAAGAAATGTATGTTTCCAAGGATAAGCCCAGAAGATGCTAATGTGTCTGCCCAGCAGTGCTCCTAGCTTGGTAGAGCTTGGCCGTCAAATGCTGAGTGCAACCTTTGCCAAGCTTGCCCTCAAAGAAAGGTCTACATGGCGATGTGTAGTGACCGGGCAGCTCTTCCAGGACCAGGTGGACAGCCATCGGAAGTTGCCACCGCCTTGCTCTCGGACAGGTTGTTTTGGACCGTCCTCTGGGGGCTGGAGGCTGTGCGTGGTTGAGACGTGTTGAGACGGCTAAGTTAACTAGATCCAAGAGCTTTTCGGCACGTGCAGGGGACCCGTGCTTCGCTGGCTTCACCAAGTTCTTCTGGGCAACTGTGCTGGCACTGTGCCCTGAGCCGCAGTTTGCAATTAAAACCTTACCCTTACAACAGTTCTAGAACATTCCTTTCAGCACATTTCTGTCTGCCAATGTCAAGTTATGTCAACTGAGGTTCTCTTTGGTGGGCATGTGTCTGTTTGTGCCATTCATGCTGGAGATCACTAGGCACCCAGCATGTTGACACCCTCTTGCTACCGTGGCAATCACACAGTACTGGAAGGCGACGCCCGCCCGGAGTACCCCTCGTGCTCTGTGGCATCACCTTTGATTGCTGTCCGCATGTGGCCCAGCTTTCGGAGCACCAGTAAGTTCGTCGCATTGCTAATGCAAGTTGCCGAGCTGCAGGCCAAAGCATTCTGCAGAGCAACTCATCACGTCTCCAGCTAGCAAATTTCCAGAATCAAGATAAAATGAGGCGGCGTTTCACACGATTCAGTCTTGAGAGGCCTCTCACAATCTCTCACATGTCGGCAGCCGCGAGTGACAAGATCGGTGTGCTGCATGACATGGTTTCGTGCTGAGCAGTTGCATGTTTAATGTTGGTACGCCCAAGAAGTTCTGAGCAATCAGCGCAGCCTTGGTTGGTGCCAGGAGCTTTTTGTTTGTTGGCTGTGTGCAAGGGAGCGCTGTTCGCCATTCGCTGTTGTCTAAGTGCATTGAACTCTTTCCGGCTGGCTTTCTGCGCTGTTGCTTGCCTTGCATGTCGCAGTCACGTGCAGCGGGCCCTTTTGGCGCAACTTGATGCTCTCGCACGTGATGAGAGATCGGATTTGTGCGTGTCTAAGTCTCACATGCTGACGTCTCAAGAGATGCTGAGCGAGACCGTGAACAGAGTTGAGCCTTCCCTCATGATGGATTGGAATACGATGATTTGTGCGTGGCTGAGCTTGCTGTGCTGTCAAACACACGCGTATCTGACGGAGAAGGTTTGTGACCTTCAAGCTTGGCCTTCTGGGCTGGTGTGGATTATGCGCTTGCTTGTTGTTCTGTACCTTGCGCCACGATAAAGTACTAATAGGACTAGTGGAAGGGATCAGCCGGTTGTTGATTGGTTTCGTTCTGGACCTGGAGTGTTGTGACTCAGCATGGGGCACGCCACAGTTGCACACGCTCATGTTGTGACATGGTTGTAGGCTAGGCCGCGCCAGCCTTTGCATCAGCGCAAGCAGCACGAACTTGCTGATTCTGCGCAGCCCATCCATGGCCCATTAGCACCAGCTTGAGTAATTAAGGCATAGGTGGGAAGACATCAGAGGGGGGAAGTTGAAAGCCTCGGTACAGCCAGGTTGAAGATGCAGTCAGCTTCTGGTGAAATGTGTGACAAGTCAGCAAGCACCTGTATGCTGAAGCCCAATCTGCTTTCCATCCATTGAATTTAATTTGCCCGTAGCTGTTTGCAAGCCAATGGCAGAATCCTCTGTGACTTGGCCACAAACAATCCGGTGAGCGTGAGCGGAGCTAAGCAGAGTCGTTAAATTCGCATGAGGTGGCTCCCTCCACGGGCGAGGTTTTGTCAATTCAGGAATTAAAAGAGCAGGCTCGGCTCCTGGCCTTTACGCATAGATCGCGCACCTTTCTGGTTTGACACTGCCTACCAACTTGTCTGTTGTGGGCTCTCTTGTGGAAGGGAAATCTCGCCTTCAAGCGAGCCACGCTGTTGAGGAGACCACGCTGCCTTTTGGGGCAGACAGTTGCGTTGTGTAATCAAGTTGCAGGCGAACGACGGCTTCAACGCAGTACCTTGGCGAAGCCAAGTCGTATTACATTCAGGACAGACGTGCGAAATGCAACAAAACCCATGCGGAGAAAACGCCTGCCCAGAGGCCATTCAGAGGGTGGGGAACGCGAAGGCGGATGCCGAGAACCTCGCGCTCTCGTGCCAGCCCTGCAGCGTGTTGCGACTGTAACGAGAGTTTAGTATTCGTGACTGCAAGACCTGAGCATGCCCTGTGCCTATCAGCGCGTGGAGATGATTTCTGGTGCCAGCCATTCCAATTCAAAAAATCGCAAAGCTAGCGCGCTCGATCTCGCTACTCCGAACGCCAATCCGTCAATATGTCGCCTGGCCCCAAGATCTTTCGGGCATCTTGACGTTTGAGAAGAAGGTGCTCCTCTGATATGGAAAGGTGTGAGGTGATTGCCGCCGCAGAGCCCAACCAGCCCTTTGTTGTGCAGGACACACCCCGCGGACAGGATCATGTTGCACGTGGAAAGAATCGAATAGAGCTCAAAGTCCGAGGAGGTTGCAGTTAACCAGCCAATGATGCAGGCTGGTACCTCGAAGTGGTCATGATAAAGCTAGGCTATTCACCTTCGCTCTGAAGGTGGTCCAGCCATATGTGACTGCGATGCTGGCCAGGGCTTCAGATTCAGTGTACATCTCGTGCAGATTCGTGCAGGCTGCTTTGGTGCAAGTGTTTTTTCAGGTGCCCGTCATCGTCAATGCATCGGGACAAATCATGCAGGGGCAAACCCAGGCACAATCTCAGTTTTTCGTAAGTCCCGTGCGCTTACAAGAGCAGCACTTCATGGCAGGCAGTGCCTGTGGCCAGTCCCAACCAGGACTACGGTGCCCAGTGGACGTTTCCTCCCGGCTCGCCCCACATGAATTCCCCACAGATGGCACCCCTGGAGCCAGACTCTCAAAGTCCTCATGTCAGAAAATCCCATCCCACACATCGATTGATTTGTGAGTTGGCTTGTGTAAGGAATTTCAACTTTGGCTACGACTACGCAGAAGCAACCAGCTTCAAGAAGGTCAGTGTTACTTGCCGCAGCACATGCTTGCATAAGTTTGAGGCTGGATTCGAATATGGTTCGCCGGAGGATGAGGAAGCCCTCTCCAGTCAAGCGTAAGGTGTCAGGCGCACTTGCTTCCATGCCGGAACAGGAAAACCGTGGACAAGCTCGCCGACGCCGTCGAGCGCGCGCTGCGCAGCCGAAGGCCCTTTTGGAGGTTGCTTGCTGATACTCCGCTATGGAGCAGTGGTCCGCCCAGACCCCTGGCATGATTCAGAATTCTGCCCGTCGCTGTGCGGAGGACAGGTGCAGATTTTTGAGGATGGACATTCGTGCGTTGCCTGAGCAGGACGTCACTGTGCTCTCCAAAGAGCACTGTGACCACCTGCGTCAGCAGTTGGAGGCGTGGGTGAAGATGACTTGGAAGCTAAACCTGAAGACAACACAAGCTGTCAGGCGGGAGGGGATGAGCTGACCATGGCCATGTCTCAGATCTCGGGCAAGGTGATCCCCCATTGTGCTTGTTCACCAAAGCTTTTAGCCGCTTAGCCGTTTAGCCGTAGAGCGTGGCCAACTACTAATCGTAGTGGTCCTGTTGCTGCTGCTGGCGGTCGTATTCTGACTACAATTCAGCTAGGACTTTGCCAGTCGAGCCAGACTACTGCCATTATCTTGCAGTGGCCATGCAAATGCCCACCCGCTTACGTGTCCCCAAAGTATGGATTTTGCCTTCAATGAGAAATCGGTCGAAATCGGTCTGTGACATTCCCATGAACGGGCTGTCCTTGCAAAAGGCATGCTGACATGTGGTCAGAGGATGTCCAAGGGATGATCTGTTTTAGGCTGCCACCCACAAAGTCAAATGCGGTCTTCGTAGTTCTCAGCTCTGCCCACCCTTTTGACATTTCAACATGGTGCCGCTCCACAGAGAATCACAGAGATCGAATGCGGTGGGGGATCCATGCGAATCCTGCCCTCGGGGCCGTTGTTCTGTGGTGCTGGGACTCAACCTTGGCTGTGAACATTTAAAATTTAAGATCCACTTTTGCATCAGGTGTGGTCATTGTCCCGTGATGCGAACGGGTGCCGTGTGGTCAGATTCCCAGGGGTCTACCGAGTCAGCTCGTACCGAGTTGAGCGCAGATCAGCCTGGTAGAACCACTGCTCAGGTGCAGACCGCCATGGAGAAGGCAAGCAATGGGGCTGCCAAGGCAAGAAACTTAGTCTTGTGGCGGTCGTCCAAGTGTCCGAGAAAAGCTTCAGGAGCTGGCATTGGAACTTCACGGGCACGTGAGGGAAGCTGTAGTTTCCCCACATGCCAACTACGTGATACAGAAGGTAGGGACGCTTCGACATTGATTGGCTGCTGCCTATGATGGACTTGGGAGCTTTTTTGCAGGTCATCACGCAGCTAAGTCCAGCAACATCGGCATTCATTGCGGATGAGCTTCTAGGCAATGGCGCAAGATTTGCCAGAGCCTCAGGTGGTCTATGCCAGGCAAAATTCTGTGACTGATCGCATGCGGGAGAGAGTCGGGAGGCCAGGCATCGCTTCGGTTGCCGAATCATGTGCCGTCTTTTGGAGCACTGCTCTAATGCCGAGCCTTTCCCGCATTCATGCCACAAGTTGTTAGTGCAATCTCCACTTGATGTCGCATCATGTCGCATCCTTCTATGTCTAGCAGATGCCTCCCGGTCGTTGGTTGTGGCGATGGTTCGAGAACGTTTGATCATCTAAATTGTCATTCGCATCAAGGATGGGACTCGAAAGCTTGTTGACGAAGTCTTGGAGGACCTATCTGAGGCACCATGGTTAGAAGCTGCTGGCCGGCTTGAAAGCATCAGCTCGTATGACTGACTGCAGGCCTTGGACCTCTGCCGTCACAACTTTGGCCATCACGTGGTCCAGTCCGTACTGGAACATGGAGATTCAAGGCCAGTTGCGCTGCACGCAGGACAGGTTTCAATCAATGCCAAGCCTGATTTGGAGGTACAAGGAACTGATCGCGGAGGTCCTTCAGAGTGATCTGTTTGCGAATGCATCTCACCGCAGTGCGCCGGTCCCAGATTTGTGTTGGCCAGTTCAGTCTCCGATGCGAATTGCAAGCCTTTCTCGCAGGCGAGCTATGTTGTCGAGTCGGCGCTCTCGCACTGTTTGGAGAAGGACGGCGTCATACGGCGTCATGGGCACACCACGGCACCCATTTCGATGAGATGCTTGAATTAGGATCAGCAAGTCTTGCTTCAGCAGCTGTCAGACCCAAACATGGCCTGAGCCTTTCAACCATCATGGGCTTCGCAATTTGTAGCCAGACAACGCCTCAGGTTGCCCAACTAGCTCAAGCCCGCTACGGATTCTATGTTGCAAAGACAGTGCTGCAGCGTCCTGAAGTTGATGCTGAGGCAAGTCCGACTTACTGAATTGCCGGCAGTCAGGCTAGCTTTGGCAAGCAAGTGTTTTACCGTTCGCGCAGGCGCTGTCCCGTCTGCCCGCAGTGGCTGCGATGCTTGCGAGCGGCGAATCCATCCAACAGCCTTACTGATCACAGCGCCGAGGGCTGTGAAGGGGGTTTGCAGCATGCAAACCATATGCAAACCCACAGCTGGAGAGGAGCGAGATGTAGTGTGCCGCATTTTGCGCACAAGCTGCTTTGCAGAAGAGTGTGGCGCCCGTTGTGGCGACGACGCAGATTAGGTGTTTGGCACTCAATAGTGGGCTAGACCCCTGGCCCGTTGTGGCGGCGTCGGCAGATTATCGCTCTGGTGTGTCTGCTTGCGAGGCGTTTTGCCCTGCAGCTCACCAGATGCCAATCCTTTCGGTTCACAGTCAATTCGTCTTCTTGTACAGCTCGGAAGGCAACAGGTTTGGCTGGCCTGTGCTTGGAGGCCGTCAGCCTGCACTGCTCTCTCAACTGCTGCCTGCATATCTGGCATTGTTCATGCATACACCCTAGCTCAATGATAGTCTTATCGGTGGAATGTCTGGATATGAGGGCACCGCCGGAAGATGTAAAGGCGAGTCAGTGACCATGCGAAGAAGACAACGATGCAACAAGTCTTCCTTTTCCGCGGTTCTGACAAAAACACGCTCTCATGCGTCGAGGGCCAAAGAACTTTGTCAATCTTCATGCTGCTGGTGTTTGTGCCGCGGATTCGCACAGCGGTGCTCTTCGTGTCATTTTCACGTGCCACCAGATCAGGTGTGCCTTGCATGCCAATCTTGCTGCCGTGTATCTGCAGGAGGCACACTGAAATCGTCCGTCAGGAAAACTGGCATGCCTCTGCTAGCGCAGGTGCCACCAAAGTGGACTCACGCTAAAGCAGCAGCTGAGATCGCGCTCGCGTTCAACCCAGAACATGTCCGAGCCTCATGTTTCTGCAATACGGCCGCGTGTTGTGTTGCTGTTGTGAGTTGTGAGAGCACACAATCAGGTCAAAGCTCGATTTCGTCGTGCTCAAGCCACCTTGGAGGATATCCACTGCATTCGACAGCAGGGCGATGCACAACCATCAGCGCATTTGGGCCAGGACAATAGAGAGGGGCTGTCAGAAGATGCTTGATACTCGGAAATGGCGGCCTGCTTCCACTGGATTGCGGAGGTTCCCAGATTTATCGGTAGTCTTGGTGCATGAGGCTTTGCGGAATGCGCTGGCAGACTTGTTGCAGGCGCAGCAGCTGGAGTCGGGACCTTGTTTCCGCGCCATTTTTGCTGTGAGAGCAGTTGCAGATTCTCCGTTCAGGCCTGCCAATGCACAAATCACCGATGAAGCCTGGTGCTTATAGGGCTTTGCTCCGAGACGGTCAGCTGATTTGCTTGGTCACTTGTGCTTTGAGCAGATCCAGGTGAGGCGGGTTACTCGCCGTTTGGAGGCTGTGGAGTCCAAACGAGGGATTCCGCCTCCGAGGAAGGCGTCTTCTCAATTTGTGGTATCGGACAATGACAAGAGCCTCTCGAAAATTCTTGAGCATGTGGGGGTGGCCAGATACTGGAGCAGTTTGTCTCCGCGATGCTCCTTGATCGTGGTGGTGATCATCTTGATGCCTATGGCTACGTCAGGATCTGAGTGTGACTTATCCTGACCCCAGAACGGTGGTGATTCGTTATCCTCATTGTCGTTGCGGCTTCAAGAGCGCCACATGATTAGCTGTTTGGCTCTGTAATGTTGGCCTGTGAGCCTTGGCATATGACGCAAACACGCGCAGAGGTGTGCAGTGGCAGCGTCTTTGCGAGGCATGGGGTCAGACGGACTCCCTAGTACACGTCTTCGTGCCTGCTCAAGGAATCAGTCAGCTGCTCAGCTGTTCAGGGACTTCGGAGACTAGATACTGACATGATTGTGAATGCCATGTTCAGCACCCAAGGATTGTCCAGGGCGAATGTTGAATGTGAGGCAGGTGCTTGAACACTGGGCTCGAGTGGCCTTGCTGCCAGGAGTCTTACAGTAGATTGTTGGTGCTTGGCAGATTTCTTCCCGAAAGTTGCGCATCGCTCTACAGCCAGCTGAGGGCCATGACATGCCACAGCCTTGAACAGGCGACAGACACTTGAGATCCTAGCGCCTGACTGTGAAGGCATAGCGACGAGTGCTTGCACAAATTGGCAGCTCAGCTTGCACTCCAGGAGAGGCACATGTAAAGTTTAAGTTGCTGCTGAAGTTGAAGCAAGGTGAAGCCGGATGAGAGCAGCTGGCAGCTTGAGGAAGGCTTGCCGCCGGGTTGGAAGCAGAGTGATGTGTGATAAATGTTCAGCGCAAACAGCTTTGCTGTTGTAGCAACCGGAGTATGTTATATGTCACCCGCATGAAGCGGCTCTGCCTGTGATTGCCACATCCAAGAGAAGAAGAGGGTGTGATGGGTGTGGGTCGAGTCGAGCTCCGCGGACTCGAAAGTGCTGACTATGTTTTGAACCTACGTACGGAGAATGACGTGCATGGCTTCCGACATAGAAATCCTAAGCAGGAAGGCACGAACACAATGTAGGAAGCAGCTGTCTCACATATTATACATCTTGGTTCTCTACCCAGGTGTTGAATGCGCAGCGCTGTTTTGCCGTTTGTGCAATTCCACGCTCATGTCAGTGTTGCTTGAACGCCTTGACCTCCTGCCGCAAAGTGGATGTTTGCAGGTGGACTGCTTCTGCATGTGGAACTTGCCAAGCAGGACACGTCACAAGAATGTGAGCACTGGACCAGGCAGAACGTGTAACATTTGCCAGACTTCATGAGTTGGCTCCACGCGGAAGGCTATGGCAAGCTCATCCACCGATAGAGTCGCTAAGCGCGAAGGCCAGGGCTCTGTGCTTCTTTACTCTTCTTTTTTGAGATGCATGGATAGCAAAAGCAGGAACAGAAGGACCTCCTTCAAATGGCGCAAGCAGCTTGCTTGGAAGATGCGAAGGAGGCGAGGCAAGAGGAGCACTTCAAGCATTCATTCTTGGCTGAAAGGCTTCCTGTGAATTTTCAGGAAAAGCCTTCACCGAATGAGGAGAAGTTGCGAAGATGGAAAGAGGCCCGGATGGCTTTGAACTTTTGGGTCTACAAACACTGACATATGCAAAGTCCAAGCACGCTTCATCAAGCATGCTAATGGCTGGTAAGGCTTTGCCGGGCGTGGAGGTGCAGTGGGGAGACACGTCGCTAGAATCCATTCGGAGACTTTCTGCGGCAGATGAAAATGGTGATCCGGTTGCACAACGCGTGGGCAATTTTGATCCTGACTTGGAAACTTGAAAGCTTGGGGGCTCCAAAGGCTACTTATAGTAGTCCACCGCAAAACGATACCAACGGCTTGCAGCACAACCAACAGCCACTCCAGGCAGAATTTGCATGCCTCGATAACTGAATCCTGCAAGAGAAAGGTTTGGACGAGACGTCAATATGCAGGGAAGGCAACAAACAAGCCTAGATAATTTCTAGAATCATCCTGCGCGCAGAGGAAATTAGATTGAGGCGAACAAGGGGAGAAAATATGCGGCAGGGAGGATATATTCAAATTTACAGGAATTTCATAAGATTGAAGGTATATAATATTGACTCGAAAATATTTCCCCGCAGGCATGAACAAAATGAATCTTCCCAAATCTCTGATTTTTCATCAATTTTTAATCATAGATATTTGATAAATCAAAAATCTCAATTAATACGGCTATTTATTTCATTAAATGAAATTAAAGAATTGACAAATTCTCAAATATATGATTTTCAAATATTTGTAATATATATATATATTCTTCGATATTTATGCGCTAAATTATATATTCTGCATAATTAGTAATATTAGAAATTCTATGATATTTCATATATATAATATATCTTAGAAATGAATAGATTATATATTCGTATATAGATTTCTATAAATATATATAGATATATATATATGTGAATCTCAGATTAAGATATATTTTTAAATCTTCTTTATTTAATGGAATTTTTTAAGTTTTGAATATTCATTTTATCTATAAATTACGATATTTTTAAAATTTTCTTTGAGATATTCTATTTTGAGGAGGGAAATTATTTTGATTTAAATGCCTAGCTAGATATTTGAATATTAATCTTATGTTTATTAATTGAATATATCTAAATCAGATTTTTTTGTCATAAGATTTTTTACTAAATATTAAGATTAGTCTGATTAATAATATATTCATATATTCTATATAGATTTTTATATATATTATATTAAATCTTAATATAATCCTAAATTTACGTATATTATAATTAGGTCGTTTTTTTGTTCTAGCAATCGAAGATATAAATAAGAATAAAATTACGATTTATCATGAATCTGAATATATGAAAAATTCTATAAATTTGAAGTGAAGGCGTGATATGAGCAAGATATAATTTTGCGAAGATAGGGAGATTCTACTGCATTAGATTGGAAGGTATGGCGATTTATTTCCCCTTCTCCGAATTCTTCTTCTTTTAGATATATCTATATATGAGAAAATTATAAGCTCATTCTTCTAGAATTTTTCAAATTGAATTTGAAAGATTCTGATGAAATATAAAATCGTTTTAAAGATGACTAGGGTCTCCCCCAAGCCGCTACGCAGATAGCCGAAGAGAGAGAAATTGATCGAAATCTCGAGATATTTCAGGAAATGCGACCTCCGCATCCAACCCGGTCTTTCCGCTTCATTTATCTTTTCTAGACCATCTACGCGGGGATTCGGAAGAACGTATAAATCTCCGTGAATAGATATACTCAAATTATAAATTCTAAAAGATCATGGTTCTTCGTCCCGGATCTATGCTCTCCGCCAAGCAGCCGCGTAGATAGCCGAAGAAATAGATAAATCACGCGGAAAGCTGCTCCGGGGCGAAAGGCCGCGCGGCCAAAAATCTACGAGATTTTAGGTCGCGTCGCTCGCAGCAAAAATATCGGAGATTTTAAAGCCTCTAGTTTTTCTGAAAGGCTCTAAAATCTCCGAGATTTTCGACTGCCTAGGGAATCTGCAAGAGGCATTTTAGAGGAAAGCTAGAAATCAAATTGATATTTAATTAAATACGATAGGCAGAAAAATGATAAATATAAGAA